TCTTCATTCGATAGTAGGAGATTGGCTATACGAGAGTTAGCCAGTTTACTGCTTTGTACTGGTGTTCTCGACGCCAGTAGTGGAGTTCTGTGTTTATAGCCTCAGCTTTCTATCCCGGTGAAGACTAGTCGTCTGCCGGGTAGTTAGACTGAGAGGGCTTGGTCAGCTTAAGAGATTCCAAGCTACTGTCGGATCTTCCGCAGTCTAATCAATAGTAAATCAACCCAGGGAATTGCAATTGAACCTAACTAAGGGGCTAGGGGGACTCAATCCCGAGTGACTCTTAACTGCTTTTGAAAACCGAACCATTTCCTGCTTTCTTACTGCTTTGCTTTAAACAACAATCACTCGAACTAGTTTGCTAGATAATAGAGAATCACGGAGTAAGCAGTAGATCTAGACCCCGGGTTGATAATATAACTTGCCTGTTACTGCATTCCCGGACTGCGATTACACTTGGTCGCAGTTTGGTGTTGTGTTTTGGCGTGTCAGTTTTGGAACGAGTTAGCATACCTTGGTCCATGTTCCCTATCACAAGAGAAGCTGGATGTCGTTTACTAATGTGTGGGGGTGGCTGAAGTACTGTTTCTGTTCCAACTTTTGTACCTTCCTGGACTTCAGGGCCTGCCGCCTCCCTTTCCTTGTTGTTTGTAGAGGTCCCTCGGTCATTTCTTGCTGTAGCACTGGTTCCGAGTCCTCTGTCGAGGCAGCCACCACCTGCTTTCTATCTAGTCCAAAATCATCATCATCAACCTGTTCTGGACACTCATCGAAAGATTCATCAAACAACACATTGATAGACTCTTCAACCTTGAGAGTTCGTTTGTTAAATACTCTATAAGCCCTGCTATGATTAGAATAGCCAAGAAAGGTTGCTTCATCAGATTTTGCATCAAACTTACCTAGAGGATCCTTGGTATTAAGGACAAAACATTTACACCCAAAGGGGTGAAAATATCCTATATTAGGTTGCTTTCCTTTCCACAGTTCATAGGGTGTTTTCTTAAGAACAGATCTTATCAAGGCTCTATTTGTAATGTAGCATGCAGTATTAATTGCTTCTGCCCAGAAATGTTTAGGCAAAGCATAATCATTAAGCATGGTTCTACCAATCTCAATTAAGGTTCTGTTCTTTCTCTCCACAACTCCGTTCTGCTGAGGAGTTCTAGGTGCAGAGAAGTTGTGAGAAATCCCAGCCTCATCACAAAACTGCTCAAAAGGTTCTGATATGAATTCCCCCCCATGATCACTTCTGACACTGCCTATCATGAGTTGTTTTTCATTTTCAACTTTCCTAGAGTAGGTTTTAAAATTCTGAAAGGCCTCGTCCTTGGATGCCAGAAAATACACCCAAGTGAACCTGGTGTAGTCATCTACAATTACAAAAGCATAATGTTTCCCTCCGTAACTACGAATATTAGCAGGACCAAACAGATCAATATGGATAAGTTTAGAGGTCTATTTGTAGAGATTACTGCTTTGCTCTTGAAACTAGATCGTGCGTGTTTACCCTTAGCACAAGCATCGCAAAAGAAGTCCTTTCTATCTTTCAACCCAGGCAGCCCTCTTACTAGTTCTAGGTTGGACAGTTTTGATAAAATTCCTATACTAACATGACCCAGTTTCCTATGCCAAAGAACTTGATCCCCTTTATCATGAGTTATCAAGCAAATCTCATCTGGTTTGTCATTAATGTTCAAAACATATATTTTTCCTTTTCGTTTTCCAGAGAACAGTACCTTTTTATCTTGAATTGACTCTACATAGCAGCAATCAGATTCAAATACAACCCTCTTACCTTGACCACACATCTGACTGATGGACAAGAGATTATGTTTTAATCCCTCTACCAGCATTACGTTTTTTATAGAGGGACCAGAGCCTATGTTGCCTTTTCCTAGAATGTATGCATGATTGTTATCCCCAAAGAATACCTTACCTGACTTACCTGTCGTGAAGGTCGAGAAAAGTTTCTTGTTACCTGTCATGTGATGTGAGCACCCACTATCCAATACCCATTCTGATGTCTCCATGCTCACTTGGAGACATTTCTGCACAAAAAGCAGTCATTTGGTTTTTGGTATCCAGACTTGCTTGGATACCCGTTTGTCTTGATGATTTGAACAAAACCTACTAATGTGGCCTTTCTTATGACATGTATAGCAGATTAGAGATAACCTCCTTTTACACATTTTAATTGTATGTCCTGTCCTGTGACAGTACTTGCATTCATTAGATCGACGAGCTCTCATCTCGTGAGGTGTTGTTACTGTTCTATTCCTGTTCCTATCCTGTACTGACGTTTCATTTGACTCGTAGTTGCATCTTATAGAGTTCTTAACCAGAGTGACCAGTTTCTCATTTTGATCAGTTAAGGTAGCTAAACAAGAGGTTAACTCAGCTGACTCTTTTCTTAAGTCCTCACATTCTTTTCTAAGTCTGATATTATCACTATCTTGTTCACCCATCCTCTTCCTAAGCGTTTCATGCTCAATTGTTAGTTTGAGATAGTCCTTTTTTAATTGAGAGTATTTTATTCTGACGTTACCAAACTCTGCCTGAATCTCTTTTATGGTTGTAGTTAATTGATCATCATCACTGTAATATTCTATTTCACTATATGTGTCAGAGTTTAGAATACTTACCTCACTTGTCTGATGTCTGTTATCAGACTCAGGTTGATCATCAAGAGCCATATAACTTTCTTCATGTAGTTCCTCATCATCATCTTCCTCTTCACTTCCACTCCACGTAGCTGCCATCGCACGTTCTTTTCTTAATTGAGGACACTCTGCCTTGATGTGTCCGGATCTTCCGCATTTGAAACATCCTGCTGAGTTGATGCCTTTAGCACCTTGAATCTGCTCGTTTCGACTTCTGAAATTAGGTTTGAGCTGACCAAATCTGATTGCACCTTCCTTTTCCAAATCACGGTTCTTTGTCACAAAATTTCCTCTTCTCTTCTCTTTTCTTTTCTTATTCGAAGCAGTCTGCTAATCTGCTTGCTAAGCAGAGCAAGTTCTTCATCCTCCATGTCTACAAGCTCTTCAGAGTCATCATTTAAGGTGGCTTTGAAGGCGATTCCTCTTTTTCCTTTATCTCCAGTCATCTTCTCACCATTGTTTCTGCTAAGCTTGTCTTCATGAGTTGCAAGTGAACCTATAAGCTCATCAATGGGTAGAGCTTCCAAATTCTTGGCTTCTTCAATCGCCGTAACTTTGGGAGTCCATTTCTCGGGCAATCCCCACAAAATATTTCTTACCAGATCACCACTTTCATAAGACTTCCCTAAGTTTTCCAGGCTATTGACAATGTTGGTAAATCTCTCATACATTTGTCTGATTGTTTCGCCTTCCTCCATTTTGAAAAGCTCGAACTGTTGCTTCAGAGAATTGACGCGTGAGGTCTTCACCTGGGATGTGCCCTCATACGTGACTTGTAGTTTATCCCATATCTCCTTTGCTGTCTTGCACCCTGCTACCTTGTGATATTCTTCAGGACCAAGGGCGCAGTACATAAGATTGGTTGCCTTACAATTCTGTTGAAACCTCTCATAGTCTTCATCTGTCCATTTTTCCTGATCCGCTTTTAGCTCATACGGACCCTTCGTTACCCTTGCCCATAGCTTAGGATCCGTCGATCCGATGAACAGCTCCATGCGGTTTTTCCAGTACCCATAATTGACTCCCTCGAACCTAGGAGGCCGATTTTGCGAAAACCCATCTGCTAGGTAGAGTGGGGCATTGTTTCCCGAGCCTGACGCCATTTTGGATTCCGCCGGAGGTTGCAGAACCTTCTTCTACGGCGACCTTGCTCTGATACCACTTGTTGGTCCGGTGGCGCGCGCCTTCTTTTTCTTTAAAAGGGGGTTTTTGCACCTGCAATTTCACGAAATTGGATATCTGGAATTTGCTAGGGTTCTTTCGAACCTGGTTAGAAGAAAATGGAAAACAAACGTTTTGATCTGAACACTTGACCTAGCACTCTCCACTTCTAGTTTTACCTCACGTGTATAGATACTCAGATGGGCTTTGGCTTAAGGACTAAAGCCCACAATCTTATTTAATTTCGGTTTCCTTACTGGCCCACTCAAACTCGTTCCTGAGCCCGTCTGTTTAATCCTAGCAGCTAAGGCCAACGCTGCCGTTTTCCCTAAACAACTATCAGAGGTTTACTTTGAGACTTAACGGATCACAGCACCTTACTTGGCCAATTTGAGAGATGAACAAAAACAGAGATGTGCAGAAATCTTAGAAACAGAGTAAACAAAGACACAGCCAATTTTTACGTGGTATCCAGTGTTGAGAGAAAAGAGTATCTCAACACTGACTAATCCACGGTCAGTGATTCACTAATCCGTGATCACTGACGTTCCACTAAGGATATGTTCTTGAAGAGCAGAGTACAAAGTACAGAGCTTCCCTGATCAACCTTCTCGGACTGATCAGATTCTAATCGTGATCAACTTCCCGTTGATGACTCAGTCTACCCAGATCAACTCCCTGTCGACCTGCTCGAGCAATCTCCCCGATCACTCAACCACTTCTCTATCAATCTGTTTACATCAACTCTCCTGCTATTTTCACTCGATTGATCTCCGAAAAGTATATCCTCTAATCTAACCTCCTTTGCTTTATACTGATTTCAAAGCTAGCCGTTGCTGCATTCAAGTTTCCGCCTTGCTGTGAAATCTTCAGATTTGGTAACTCCTTGATTTCGAGATTTGGCTTTCCTTCTGCTTGATTTGTCTTTCCATCTTACTCGTTCTCTTCCTTTCTTGCACTGCACGTTCCCTATTGACTGGCTTGATCCCAACACTTAATCCATTATATTACTTTCCAACAAATTAACAGAACAAATAAACAATTGCATAGCATAAATCAGTTTTATTGAAGGCTGCAAGCATCCAAACACGCTTACAATTAAAAAAACACTATGAAAAAAAAATGACACTGGATCCCATCTCAACCCTCAAGTCCTCAACCAGGTAGGTACAGTAACTAAACGGGAGGTAAAGGGTTATATTGCACAACGGGAATTAGTTCCAAGTGATTCTTCTTCCTCAGGGAGACGCCAAACTGCTCGTCCATATTCAAGCTTTCCGGCTCAGCTCCACCGGGAAGCTTCCAGTCAAAATGGAACAACAGATTCGCCAGGGGAAGTTCCACAACCGCTAACCCAAAAGTCATTCCAGGGCACATCCTCCTTCCCGCTCCAAACGGGAGGAACTCGAAATCGGTTCCTCGAAAGTTCACTTTCTCATCGAGAAACCTCTCGGGGAGGAACTTCTCGGCCTCCGCACCCCAGTAACGAGGGTCCCTCGATATGGCCCACACGTTCACCAGCACCCTCGTCTTCAGAGGGATGTCGTACCCGAAGATCCGACACTCCTCCCTGCACTCCCTGGGAAGGACCAGCGGAGTCGGGGTGTGCAGCCTCAGCGTCTCCTTGATCACCAGTTTCAAATAGGCCAGCTCGTGAATCCCGGATTCTTCCACCTTCCCTCTCTCGCCGAACACCTTTCTCACCTCGGATTTTGCCTTGTGCATCACTTCCGGATTCCTTATCATTTCCGCCATCGTCCATTCGATCAGCGTGGCAGGAGTCTCGCTTCCTGCTAGGAAAATGTTCTGTCCAGTGACGAACTCAGGATTTTTTTTTTAGAAGCGTATCAGTTGATAAAAATACACTAATGAAAACAAATAAATAAATAAAAAGCAAAAAAAAAAATATTATAAGAGGTTTTGTAAAGTTTTGCAAGTCAATTAAATACCAGAAGGAAAGCGTTGATGGCATCTGTGGACAAGTGAAAACCAAGGGTGCAGTCATCCTCCTGAACTCTCAAAAGCACGTCGAGAAGATCCTCCGACGACGACGACGACGTCGTTCCCTTCTGCTTCTCCAACGCTCTCTTGGATCTGTGCTGCCCAATCATGCTCTCCATCAACCTATCGGTGACCTTATGCACGCCGTCGAGCCACTCCGTCGTGCCAAACAGCCTCTGCACCAATCCGCACGAAGGGAACAAGAAGGATATCTTGAACCCTCCGGCGTACTCCACCAGCTCCTTCCGCCACCTTCATGAACTCCTCGGGCTCCTTCGACACGTCCCCGAACGTCGACATCGATATTATCCGGTACGTCAGGTTGAACAACATCTTCGTCGGGTCGATCGTGGAGTCGGCAGTCGCGGCTTGTTCATCAGTAATCCGCGTGACGAGACGTAGCACCTGTATTCAGATGTTACATAACTGGAGGTTGATATTCATTACGTAAAATAACCATACAGTTAAGCGAATGTTACCTATTGAACAAATATTACTCTTTGTTTTAACAAAAAAGGGTTAAGAACTAGTTGGTTTCAAGAAATCTAAATTATTGACTTCATCAACTTGAGTTGTTAACAGAGGTTCAATTATATATCATACATGCATGCTGGAAATTTGCATAGGTTCGGACACCATGTGCTTAACGAAACATATTTGGGTCACTAGGATAAGAACAAAAGATATATCACGATCACAAAAAGCTCTGATACCATGTCCAATAACTCAATTTGTTAGAAGAGTTTCAATCATATAACATTTACTAACAGCTAGAAGACGTTCAATTATTCATCTTATACCATATATTGACACACCCCCTCAAAACGAAAACTAACTCGTATGTGCTTGAGCCTTGAAGTACTTTTCATAGATCAGAACACTATGTTCTTTAATATATAAGGAGGTGGTTCGAGATTTGATCACAAAATCTCAGCTCTTATACCATATCAAACCCAGTTGATCACATTTAACTCGAGTTATTAGAAGACTTTTTTTTTTCAACATGTATCTCATACCATTTACTAACCACACGTACCTCGGCCTCCCTGACCCAACGCAGGGAGTCGACGCGCTTGGCGATGAGGAGCTCGAGCGTGGCGAAACGTCGGAGCTGGCGCCAGTAGTCGCCGTAGGGAGCGTGGATGAGGTCGATCCCGCCGTACATGACTTTGGCCAGGCTAGGGTGCGAGGGCCGCTGGGCGAACTTGATGTCGTGGGTCCTCATCACTTCCTTGGCGGCCTCCGCCGACGATACCAGAGCACGTGCTGAATCTCCCCGAGGTCCAGTCGGATCACGTCGCCGTGCTTTCGGGCCAGCTCCCGCAGCAGCCGGTGCGGGAGCTGGCGGGAGGTGAGGAAATGGTGGAGGTGGCCTATCACGGGGAGCTTCCATCCCGGAGCCGGCGCCAGCTGGCGGTGGCCGGTTTTTCCATCCTCCGCCCATATTTTACGTGAGAAAATTATGATGGTTAGGAAGAGGAAGAAGATGGGAAGAGCTTGTTGCAGGAGGAGCTCCATGTGTTTTGGTGTGATGAGTCCATAACTGATCAAAGTAAGGGTATATATAGCTGAACGTCTGAGTTGAAGCTGAACGTCCGGCCCATATTTTTGTTATTTCGTGGCCTGGAATATTGTAGCTAGTATCCAGTCCTCTAATGTCATTCCCTTGGTCAAATTAATCTTTTTAAATTCTACTATCTTATATTTGATCTTTGTTGTCTTGGGAGTTGGGAAGTGATGCCAGGCGTTTCTAGGTATGGCAAGGGTTTAAACATGCCAGGCGTTTCTAGGTATGGCAAGATTGATCTCCATAACTCGCTTTCTCTCGCCGGAGTTGCATATTCTGGTGAGGTCGATTTTTACAAAGATCTATGTCGCCATCCAAGCAAGCGGCAGGGGATTCGAGCTTCTAGAGATTGTGTTGGACGACGGTCTTCTGGTGGAAGGGGTAGCGCACTTGATTTCCCTCGATAATGGGGCTGATTAGGGTGTGATAGGACTGGAGGCTTGAGGACTCACGAGAAGAACTACGGAAGCCTTTGGTGACGGCCAGGCTGCTCTTGGGACAGCTGATATCGATGCAGCAGCAGGAGGGCCGATCTTGTGTTGGATGATCATTGTCGCTGACGCTTCCCATCTGAGCTACTGTTAAGAGCCCTAAAGGTAATTTGATCTAATGATCGATCATCCTTGTTTTCCTATGTATGTATGTATGTATGTGCATCTGTTCTTACACATTTGACCAGTTAGCTAGCTAGCTAGCTAGTTGTAATTGATCTAGTGAATGTGCATTTTTTTTCTCTATTTCATATTGGATTTGACTTGAAAAAGTCTTGTTGCTTTGATGAGCCATAAGGTAGTGGAGAGTATTTCCAATGCTTGATGAAACATTCGACAAAGCTATTGAGCCCGAGCGGTTAGCTGAGCAAGTATTTAACCTCTGTTTTAAACTTTTATTGCTGATATTCACAAACAAATTTGCCTATATTTCCACTTGCTCTTTGTTTTGGAATGTTCTGCTTTCATAATGGTTTTCTCTTGTAGTTGTTCATACTCGAGGACTGTGAAGATAAGTATGGTTCGCTCGTCATAATGGTGGATTGGTCTTGATGATTTTCTCATTGTCTGAGTCCTTACAACTTTTTCATTGTTCATCTTCACGATACTGAATGTGTGGAATTTTGCTTCTTATATTAATTTGTTCTTGTTTTTGTTTCTTCTCTTGTCACTTTCACAGCTAAACCATGAAATTAACCATGTGAAAGTTGCATTTGAATCACTTTGATAGTGAAGCTGGAACCCCTGTGGCTAGTACTCCTATTAAGCTATTCTCATGAGGTTAGTCGAAAGCATTCTTTGCTCCATTGATTTGTCTGTATACTTGACCCCTTCTGTAAGTGTATTATTGCATGATATCGTATGATTGATAAAAGAGATAAATAGTTGTGGTTCCCTTTTCCCTGCTTAAGAATTGAGCTTCACATTTGGGATACAGCAGGTACTTTTAGAGTTAAGTGTCCTGAACATTCGGACATGAGACCAGTTAATCACGAGGTCTCTCATTCAACATCATTACAAGTTGAAGGTGGTAAAGTGAACAGGCTTTCTTCCACTCCTCTGCTTTCCCCCCCCTGCAAGATGCAAATGCTTCATCTGTTCCTATTTTAACACTTGCTTGCATCTGGGATTGATAGGTTTCATGATTTCGTTGATGGTAGACAAGATCCTTTTATCTCAGTGTAAGCTTTTTATGTTAACTTTTCAACTTAATTGCTTCATTCAAAGAGGTCCCCATGTGTACCTGATAATGTTAGTTAAGGCTTAATCCCATTTCTTTTATCTTTCTATCTCGAGTGAAGTAGAGAAGAGGAGCCTCATCAGTTGCATAAGCCCTGCCACTCCTGGAAGCAATGGTAAACCATTTTGATCGAGGCTAAAAATAATTGAGCTGCAGATTTGGGATACAGCAACGGACGATTCAATGGTACTTTCTGCTGAAGTTTTGCCATAACTCTAATTAATCTGTGTTTTTGTTGGTAGTTTCTCAGTAGTTTGTTGATTGATTACATTCTTGGAAAGTTTAAGACTGCAATTGAATCAACGAACGAACACTATCTTTCTAGCCCTCATGCTACAAGGATTTGCTAAAATTACAGCTATCCTCTTATCACTAATTGATTTAACATGCTTGCAGGTTATTTAACAGCCAAAAACCAGGTCACCTTCTACACATCAAACAAGAATACATCCTGCTCCTAGGTAACACTATGCAACTTTTCAGCTTATTTTTTCTTGCCTTCACTATTTACTCATGCACTTGATTGGATTTACCCCATATAAATTTCTGAAGACAATGATTGTTGGGTACGTAGAATGCTCAAACCATGGGACAATTCAATTTATGGGTATTAGTTGCTCTCATACCGCTCACTTTTTTTTTTTTTTTTTTTTTGTGTTTCCATAAAATTTTCTTTTGGTGGTAAATTACTGATGGGAAGCAACCTGATTAATTAAGTAGGCAAGTCAGCCGAATCCCGTACAACAGCATGCTCAAGAGGAGGCTAAGAGGTTCGCTATGTCTTTCTCTAGATAGCATCCATTAACTGCTTACTTCAACTGTGATTACTCGTGTTTCAATATATATATATACACACACAAATCTTGGGTTGTGAATGTCATTTGAATTGTTCATTTGCTGATTTAGGGAAACTGAGGAGCCTAGGCAGATGGTGTGGAGTTAGACATTGTCTGCTCAAGCTTGAGAAAGATGTAAGTGATGCCGGTTGCAACTTGTGAATTTTTCAACCTGTTAAATTCATATATCCAGGTATAGGCAAATTGAATAAAGGGAGAGCATCTCATCGCCTTCCAGGAAGCGGAGGGGGGTTTTGCAGCTGGCCAATTTTTCGAAGAAAAGCATAGCCATGGCCTCCTCCGACTCTGGCTTCACAGAACACAGAGTGAGCATGCCATTCATCTTCCTCATCTTGTTAATCAATCGGTTTTTGTAGGAATTGGTTTTAGAAAGTTCCATTCTTTGCCCGTAGTGTTTATTTATATATTCCTCTCTTTAGGAAGCCGGCCCTGTGAAGATGCCCCCCCCCGGCTCCGTTGCTACAACACTTGAGGTGAGTTTGTTTCGTCTCTTGTCAACACACACTAGTTTAGTTAAGGGAAAGAGTATAAAGTTGCAAGCTTTGATTCGATTGCTCGTCTTTCTTTTCGCTAGAACAAAGAAGAAGATAACGGTGGTGTGGATCGGATTACTGAACTACCAGAGGGAATCCTTGTGAGCATTCTGTTCTTCTTGACATTCAAGTGATGAAGCGCATAGAGCTTCTGTCTAGAGTAGTGCTTGTAGAAGAGGGGAGATATCTCATGGGTATTTTCCTTTAGCTTTGAAGAATAGATCATTCGGTTCTCTTACTGCTACTATGTTTCTTTGGATGATGCTTGGATATTTATGGTAATTAACATTTAGCCATGTAAATAATATTATATTGAATCATGAATCATTGTATGAATGATGGAATATATATGCAAAAATTGGCCAGAAACAAGTTTGGTTATGGGTTTTCCTCTTGTAACCAGGGTATTTGTAAGCTAGCTTACAGAAACCAATGATCCCATTAGCGGCAGATTTCTCTTTAGTGACCATACTGAGTTGGTTGCCAATTAATTAGTCACGATTTAAGCAAGGGTTTTAACCCTTGCTAGTTTTAGCAACAATTTTTTTATTTCTTACTAGTCTCTTTAGTGACCATAATAAGTTGGTTGCAAAAATTAATTAGTCACGAATTAAGCAAGGGTTTTAACCCTTGCTAGTTTTAGCAACTAATTTTCCAAGGGTTTAAACCCATGATACAGACATATCTCTATTAGATTTTACATTGCAGTGTAGCAGGGGTTGTAACCCTTGCTATATGTAGCAGGAGTTAAAACCCCAGCTACAACCCTTGGAGGGGACTTCCACCGTGGGTTGCAAAAAACCCTTGCTACATGTAGCAGGGGCAGCATTGGCGAGGGTTCGTCCAGGGGTTGGGATAACCCTTGCTACAAACTGTAGCAGGGGTTATAACCCTTGCTATAGGTCAAAAAAACCCTTGCCATAGACCTCTTTTTTTGTAGTGACAAGGTGGTCCAACCGGTTGGTTTTCCAAGTGAAATGGTTTTTATAAATTAAATGAGAAAAATGGAAATAATCGATACCAAATACATTAGTTGGGAGAAGCAATTAAAATAGTTAATTCACGCAAAACAATTTATAGTTGAGAATTGATAACTAATAACAAACAATCAGATACGTAAAAATAAAAGTATACTATATTTATTTTATGATAACAGTTAACAAAATTTCTTGGTTCAAGTTCAATGATAGGTGTTTATTTTTGGACGTCATTTGTGAAAATAATGAAATTCGGTCTAACCGGTGAGTGTTTCAGATTTTGACCGAATTTCACCAAAGCCTATTACAGCTCTTTTTCCAGTTGGTTTCATGCATTTAGATCGCGTTTTACATCTTCTACTTTGGTATCAATGCAGAAGTGTTTGTACATGTATAACTTACATACGCTGTCTTTTGGCCAAAAAAGAAAAACTTATATACTCTGTCTTGGTCTTGGTTCGTTGATAGTATTCATAAGTTCATCACGGCCGGCGAGTAGTATGGGCTGGCCGGTCCTACAGCAGAGTCTTTAATAGGGATGGTGTGCAATGGTTCGGTCCCACCCGGACCGTATTAAATGGTTGAAAATCGTGGTTCAATAGTAAAACACTTTTTTGTTTAGGGATTGAACAAACAATGTATTTGGTACCTTTTGATTTTATCTATATGTCAATTCATTTCATTTTTCTGTATTTATAAATTCATGTGATCAAAATCATGAAGTGTTCCCTCAAAAAGAAAAAAAAAATCATAAAGTGTTATATTCGGTTCAGTGTGATCGGATCCAAACATCGATTTAATCCGATGTGATACGGACCAAACCGTTGCGTCTGGGCATTGGGCCGTGATATTCTGCTTTTTGGTGGCAAAGTATGGTAGATCTTTCTCTTCTTAGCACGTTCCATTTGGGCCGGGTTTTTTCGAGCGGATTTGGGCCTTTTCAATTCTTGATCTGGGCAGGGCTTTTTATTGATTAGTCTGCTCATTATTCTAAGTCGACACGTGGTGGGTTTTGTGTGGCTGGGTACTCAACGTAAGCAGTCGAAGTGTCGAACTGTCCAAGTCTTCTTCGTCGCGTCTCCGTCAAAAACCCTCAAAAGTTACCTTTTCGGTTCCCCCCCGTTCCTCTGCCTGTTCTCTCTCTCTCTCTCGGCAAAAGGGAAACCGAAAATGTCCGATGACCTTCCCACCGATGTCGTCACCAACATCCTCCTCCGCCTCCCGGTGGCCGCAATTCTGCGCTGCCGCGCCGTCTACAAGCCCTGGCGGGCCCTGATCGACACCCCAAGGTTCACGAAGCTCCAACTCGACTACACAGCTGCCACCACCAAAAACGCCGTCCTCTTCGTCCTCGAGGACGACGGCGACGACAACGGCGACCTCCGCTCCGCCGCGTACGTCAACGGCCTCCGCCGCGAAGCCCGTATCAATATCCAAACCGCCCAAGTCGGCGACGCAATTTCACGCCAGGGCGTAACCCTATTCGGGTCGTGCGACGGGTTGCTCTGCCTCGGCTACGACAGCGGGAAGGTGCTCATAATCAATCCGGCCACGAGGAAGTCGCACTCCACGATGGTTCGTGTAACCATTTCCCCGTATGATTTCAGCGCCGGCGGTGCGCATTGGTCTTACCGCGACGGTTGCGGGTTCGGGTATGATTCTGTCTCCGACGACTATAAGGTCGTCAAGATTAACCAGAAGCTCGAGTCTAGTAAAAAGCTTCTCCAATCTGAAGTGATTAGTCATGGAGTTAGGTTGAACTCTCGTGTATCCGTCAATTTCCCCTATTTCCTAGCTGGTTCGCAGAAAATAGGCGTGTTTGTGGGTGGGGCAATTCACTGGGTAGCTGGTAGGAGCGAACGATCCGGAGAACAGCAACGTGATTGTGGGTTTCGATTTAGGGCACAGTGTATGCAAGGAGATCCCACAGCCAAAGTACACCAACAGGCGATCGTTCAGCATGAGAGTTGGTGAGCTTGGGAAGTGTTTGTGCATATTTGCTAATTATTGGGGGAGGGTGGTTGATGTGTGGATGATGAAAGATTATGGAGTGAAGGAGTCATGGAGCATTCTGTTTTCGGTTCCACATCCCGGGCTGTCACACGATTATGGAATTCGATCTCTCGGATTCTCCATAACGGGCCACGATGTTCTTGTGCAGCTGGACGGCAGAAGGCTTGTTTGGTACGACCTGAAGAATTCCCAGAGGGGTGCTGGTGCTGCCCAGAAGGTCACCGTCAATGGATTGAGGACGGAGTGCATGGATGCCGTTGTTTGCTTTGGAAGCCTTGTTCCTCCTGATGGGAAGTTGCCACCCAAAGAAGTGAAAGTTGAGAAGCAATATCAGAAACCAAGACCCCAAAGGAAGAAGAGGTTTGGTGTTACTAGCTAGTGGCTACCTGTGTTTGTTACCATGTACTACTGCTTGTTTAAAACTGTGTTATTCTCGTTGCAGAGATGATTTC